AGCTTAGATGAATTAATATATGCAAAATACTATGTTTCTGGAACGTAGTAAATGCTGCATAAATGTTGGCTATGATTAACATCTTTTCTTTTGGACTGTTTATCTTTTTTTTTTTTTTTTCCACAATGAGTTGCAAGGGCTCTTTATAATGTAGGGAAACTCACCCTTTGGTCCTACCCACCCCACCGCCCCAGACTTCTGGTTCTTATTTATTTTTCCCTGACCACAAAAGTAACATGATACAAAATTCAGACATTACAGAAATGAACTGTATAGGAAGAAGCCAACGGAAACAACTCAGATGTCCATCGAGAGGAGTGAGTAGATAAATTGTAACATCCCCCTATCCACCCACTCCCATCCCTTTTGGGTTTTACATACTTCAGCAACTTCATCAAATGTTAAATAAAACATTTTCATGTTATGCTTCAGACACACCCCAGAGGGACATCATTCCATGTATGTGCCATGAAATGCCATTAGCAAGTGTGTTTCCCACACCCACTCAATCTCAGACCCCCTCCCCAGGCATTCTACTCTCTGTCTTCTGGGTGCCCACGATCCTTCCTGTGAACAATTTGTCAGCTTTACATTCTGTAGTTTGTATTATAAATGCTGTAGCAGGAGGTTGGGGAGTTTTTTCTTAACTATAAATTGGAAATAGGATCATAAAATTATATAATGTTATCTATAAGCTGGCTACTCCAAGTGCGGTCTGCGCATCCCCTAGGGGCTTGTTAGAAATGCAGCATTTCAGCACATTTCAGCACAACCCCCACCCCCAAACACACATACAGAATCAGAATCTGCATTTTAACAAGACTCCTAGTGATTTGTGTGCACATTAGAGTTTTGAAAAGTATTGCTCGGGGGGGCACCTGGGTGGTGCAGTCAGTTAGGCATCCGACTTCGGCTCAGGTCGTGATCTCACAGTTTGTGAGTTTCTGTGCTGCCTGCTCAGAGCCTGGAGCCTGTTTGGGATCCTGTGTGTGTTCTCTCTCTCTGCTCCTCCCCTGCTTGTGCGCACTCTCTCTCTCTCAAAACTAAATAGACATTTAAAAAATATATTGTTCTAGAGGCGCCTGGGTGGCTCAGTCGGTTAAGCGTCCGACTTCGGCTCAGGTCATGATCTCGCAGTCCGTGAGTTCGAGCCCCGCGTCGGGCTCTGTGCTGACAGCTCAGAGCCTGGAGCCTGTTTCAGATTCTGTGTCTCCCTCTCTCTGACCCTCTCCTGTTCATGCTCTGTCTCTCCCTGTCTCAAAACTAAATAAAATGTTAAAAAAAATAAAAAATATATTGTTCTAAAAAATAATACTGTAGGCTTCACAAGTATGCTGCATTTTTTACATTTTGAAATGTAAAAATGCAGGAGGCATTTTATCTTAACTACACCTGTGAGGCACTCATGCCTTTCACATCACACAGATTCCTAAACTGCCCAGATGTTTTCCCACCTTGTTGAGAATAGTGTTTGACTGAACGCTGGAGAACAGGCCACATGTGTCTCTTCACTGGAGCACTGTGCAGCCTCCTGTACCTACCAGGTATGCTTTTGACTGTAAATAGTGAAAACCTACCTTCAAGAGCAGCTTCAGCAATAAAGACACTTATCTCACGTCTTACGAAATCTTAAGAAACCTGTAGGTAGACAGCCCCGGGATTCCTTCAGCAGCCCAACCACATCATCCGAGGTCCTAGCTCTTGCTATCTTCCTGTGCCAGCACCTTCTTTCTCTGTACACCTGTAATGTACCATAGACTTTGTGGCCTCTTGATTGCCACAGCCCCAACCATCAAAAAACCTCCTTTTATAGGAAGGAGGAAAAGGGACAAAAAGAAGCTTTCTCCTCAGTTATTCTTAAGGGAGGGAAACTTTCCAAACACGTCCCCTCCTCAACTCATTGGTCGGAAAGAACTAGGTGACCCGCGCACCCTGGGACCAATCACTGGCAAAAGGAAATGGCTGTGCCAGTGATTAGCTTGGATTCACACCTGGAACCGGACCTTCAGCCTCCTAAACAAAACCAGCTATGTGGGCACGAAAGGACATGGTGACTGAACGCAGTCAACGGTGTCCAACACACCCCCTCTCTGGCTCCCCGCCTCCAACCTTGCTGCCGCCCCATTCAATCTCCTCAAGGCCGCCAGGCTGCAACTGGTAAAAAATGCAACCCCGCCCACGCTTTCCCCCAAATCTCCCAAGCTCCCCGGAGGAAACGGCAGGTGCCCCAGGGTTCAGAGAACTGAATTCCAAACCTGATTTTATTCCTTCCTTGTTGTGGGATCCTGGGAAAGCATTCCTACGCTTCTGAGCCTCAGTTTCCTTATCTGACAAATAGAGATGATAAAAGCTTCTTTGCAAGGGTCATTGAGGATTAATAAGAAAAATAATAGCTAATACTTATACGGCACTCTCTCTGTGTCAAGGCCTTCTCTAAATTCTTTAGTTCCATTAACCATTTTAATCTTCCCAACAATCCGATAAACAGGACTCTTGTCCTGTAAACAGCTACCAGCTCCAGCGCAAGGCGGAGATGAGGCGCAGGCACCCGCCGAATCCGGCTCGGGGGACTGGCTGTGACTTCCGAGAGAGGGGATGGAGCTTCTCGGAGGGAGCTTCAGCGCCGAGGACCACAACTCCCGGCAGGCTCCGCGACGCCGCTGAACTACAATACCCAGCATGCCCCGGGCCGTCGGGTTTAACCTATTCCTCCTGCAAGGTGTTCCGCACCGGAATTTGCTCTACTGTGAATTTTGCTTGCCAGAAATTCCCCTAGAGAACCAAGGAATCTATGCGAGTAAACGTTTAGGAGCATCGTGGATAAATGGCTTGTGTTTTCATCCTCACTCCTTCACCTGTCAGCTCTGAGTCTGTTTTCTCATCTCTAAAATGGGGATGTACCTAGAATTTGCCGCATCCAGTTGCTGAAAGGATTAAAAACTGGAAATGACGGCTTGGTAAATATCAGCTAGCGTCCCCTCCTCCCTCTGTGCTAAAGAGTTTTATCAAAGCATTTCATCTCTACAGCAACCCTATTAAGTTGATACTATCAACCCCGCCCCCCCCCCCCCCCCTTCAGAAGGGGGAACTGATGCCAAAAGAGATTCAAGTCTCTTTCCTAAAGTCACAAAGCAAAGGGAGTGGTGAAGGAAGACAAACCCAGAAAATTTCACTCCGGAGGTGAGTCCACTTTAGAAGCCCAAATGCTTCCCACTTGCTACTGAGGCTTTCCAATGACCCAGAGTCCAAGGCAAATATTTTCTGTGCTCTTCAAGAAAAACTTGAATCACGTGATAAACGGGACACTCTCAAGGTGATTACCTGTTGCCAGGCTGGGAAGGAGACGCACGTGGCACTTTGAGAATCAATTATAGCTGAATCCGACCAGGTTGGAGAAATCAAGGAAAGTTTCCCTGAGGGGGTGATGCTGGATCTGAGAACTGAAGAGCGGAAGAGCGCAGGCAAAAGCCCTAAGGGTAGAGGGCACGTGTTGCAGAGGGCTTGAAAAAGGCCAGTGTTGCTGGAGAGGTACAGGCAAGTCTCAGAGGTACAGGCTGTGTTAAGGAGGGGGGAAAGAGGCACCCAGGGTGCAAATTTTAGGGAAGTATTCACTTGCAGGATAGTGCAGGGGCAGAACTGAGACCTAAGACTAAAAGTCTCCTTAAATGAGGCTTAAGTGAAAGCTCCATCCATCGTGGTTTGCCCAGAAGAGTCCTGTTGTCCCGGCACGATTATACCGGGCCTTCTTTGAATCCGACGTTCCTTAGTCGGAGGAGCATTCTATGGTCACGTGACTTGTAGAGCCTATCTTATCACAAGGAAATGGGGAGCCACTGAAAGATTTAACTGAAGGGCGTTTTGAGCAAATTCTGCCTGCCACACAGAGACCGGACCATGGGGGCAAGAATAAAGGGTGCTGAGGTCACCCAAGTGGGAGACGAGGACAGCCTACCCTAAGTAAGAGAAATAAATGGAGCCGAGAAATGCTTAGGAGGCACTGCTGTCAGAACCAGGTGATGCAATGGATGTGCTGGATGAGAGCTTCCCATTTCCTTGTTGCCTGTACTGAAAGTCCCCGTCCTTCCTCTGCCAGGGTTACCTGTGTTACCTTGAGGCAGTCCCTTTACCTCGCAGCTTGTTTGTACATCCGTTTCAGGGCTTCTAAGACCATTTACAATAAAGGAGCAGTCCCTTCTTGGATTTAATATATATTTGCAAACATGTGTCTGTAGGACCTTTGCACATGCTGCTCCCTCTACCTCCTAATCATTCAGTTTCAGTTTCAATGTGACCACTTTAGGAGGCCCCTGCTGCCCCGTCCCTGCTTTACTCTCCGTCCTATCATAGTTATATATTCTTTCCTATTTCTTTGTTAACTGGCTATCTCCGATTAAAATGTAAGCCCGCAAGAGCAGACTTCAGGGGTATGTATCCATTCCCACAACCTAGCACAGCGCCTAGCACATAGTTGTTCTTAGTAAATATTTCTTTGGATGAATAAATGGATTGATAAGTGAATGAATGAATGAGTGAATGCTTTCCCTGACAACTTAATGCCCCCCAACATTCTCTGGCCAGGGAGCATGGATCCTGGAAGCAAGACATTTCTGGCCTGGGTTCAAATTCAGACTTAGTCACTTAACTGCTAAATTGTGATAAATCGCTTAACCCTCCTCAGCTTCATTTTTCACATTAATCCCGACCTGGTAGAAATATTGTGAGGCTCCAGCTAGATAGGAAAACGCTCGCAGCGAAATAGGTAACTTTTTTTAAGCTTTCTTTTCTTCTGTATCTTTCATAATCGAGTCCTCCCAAGTCCGATCACCCCCGCCCTTCTCACCAAGCACCTCAATAACTCCCTCGCACCCGAGCCTGGAGGGACATGCAGGTTGCTGGGCCCTCCCGCACACAAATCATGTTTCCTCCCTCTGAAAAGGCAGGGAAAAAACCTTCCCGGCAACTGGTCGCGCGGTCGGCTTAGCGGGCGTCAGCGGTGTCGTCTGCGCAGGCGCGGACGCCTGCGCAGAAGGGCCCGGGGAAACGGGTGGGGGGTGAAGAAGGGGCCGGCCTTCGAGCGACAGCGACGCAAGATGGCAGCCACCACGGGCTCGGGTGAGCTGGGGCGCCGGACCCGGCCTGCCGAGGGGGCGCGGGCTTGGGCCAGGGACTGGGGACCCGCAAAGGCCCTAGCAGCGGGACCAGGGCCTCTGCGCTGCCTCTGTCCGCTGGGCTCCGCGGCGGCGACCCTGGCGGCCAGAGTGGGGAGGAGGAGCAGGCGGTGGCCGGAAGCACGGGCGGGGGCCTGAGGGGCCTGTGGGCGGCGCGGCGGGGCTCACAGGCTTCCCCGGGCGGCGTGAGGGCCCTGTTGGGAGGAAGGACCCGGCCCCAAGGCAATGCTGAGCGGCCGGAGCTATCGAGGGGCGAGCCTAGAGGCACTCCTGAGGAGACGAGGCTGGCGGCTCTGGGGGAGATCCAGGGGTCCCCTAGAGGATAAGGAAGCGCCCCTAAATGGATGAGAGTCCTTTACCGGGTGATGGAGGTCCGAGTGAGGGGGTAGCCATCCTTGGGATGTCCGTTTGGCGGGGACTTCAGAGAACCCCTTAGGATGGATGGAAGGAGAAAACGATCTCAAGGGGGTGACCGAGGATCCTCCATTGGTTAAGGGGACGGCTCCAGCGTTAGTTTGGGGGATGGGGTTAGCCGAGGAAATCTCTATGTCGCTTGGAAAGGGGGCGTCTTGGCGTGGCTGGTTTTGGCGGAGCGGGGGGATTAAGGGCATTAGGACTGGCGAAGTGAGAAGGGAAAACGATCTCTCAGATTCCAAAGGGGAACGACCCCATCGTTATCAGGCTTTTCTTTGAGGAGACATGTTAGGTTTTAGGAGCCAAGCTCTGAGTGGGGCAGCGGTGGAAACTTTCGACATTGGGTGAATTGGAAGCCCTGGGGGTACCTGTTCGGTGCGGGAGGTCCACCGAGGGAAGCCACATGCAATGGTTGAGAGTGGGGGAAAGTTCAGAGATGTTTCTCTCCGAAAAGAAAAATCTCCTCTCTCGGGTGAGGGAAGCATACCCTAGTAGTGCCTGTTTTACGGAGACTGTCACTCCGTTCCACTCCTTTGGATGTTGGGAAAAGATAAGTGGGTTCAGCTCAGCAGTTCCCTATTGAGTGGATGGGTATGGGGAGAGGGACAAGTGAAATGAGAAGTCTGGGTGACTGGGGCAGGAAAGCTGAGCAAATCCCCATTTCCAGGATGCAGCAGAGGGAATAAGGGGGCTGTACTTTGGAGGAGGGGGAGTGCTCCCAGTCTCGTGTAGGTAGAGGGAAGCAGCATTTATTTTGAGACTGGATTCGCTGTTCTACACTCTTTAGATGGGCCAGAGGATCAGATTACGAAGAGTCCGTTTCCAAGTTAACGTTCCGCAAATGGGCATCAGGGGATGGACTCAGATGGCCTTCTTGAGGAGGTAGGGTGAGGATTAGCTGGGGGAGGTCCCCCAGAGACGCTGATTAGGTAAGAGAGAATCCAGAAGTGCAGGATTTGGGGGAAGACTCAGTGTCCTCCTTATGGAGAGGCGGCTGTACCTGTCGGCCAAGGAGGTCCTCTCAAATGCGGGGACGACGGGTGACCTCTGATGAAGCAGGCAGGGCCGCCAGCCCGGCTACTGAAATCCTCTGGCTAGTTAAGGCCACAGCATCAGCACTGTCAGGGGAGGTGACCTAAAGGGAAGGGGGCGATGGGAGTCCCGTCTTTCCGGGGCGATGCGCCTCCAGTGTCCCAGGGAGCCATCCTTGTCTGTTGCAGTGGCCGTGGAGGGGATTGGCTGTAGGGGTTCAGACCGAAGTGACCTGTCACAAGCTGCCTTTTAAACTTAAAGCAGTGGGGTCCTCCCGGGGGGCAGGGAGGGAGAAGACCACACATCCTTTTCCTGGAGTTTGGTTTCAGCTGGAATAGTGCTGAGTCAACTCGTCTTGCACGATACTGCCACAGAAGAGAGAGGCTGAGTCAGGCCAGCCTGCTGTGGGAAACTTCGCACCAGAATAGCACCCCTGTCAGGTTGCTAGGAAGTGAGGGGCACAGCGTGCCCGTGGCAGCCAGCGTTATGGTTGCGTTGCAGCTCGGCCCTGTGTGCAGGCACTTGAGATTGGCCACCTACAGTCCGGCTTAGCAGCTACTTGATTCTAACTTCTCGAGGCCCTGCCAGTTGATGATTGCTTCATAAATGCTACTGCAGTCAGATCAAACCTCATCGGCTGCTGTCCTAATGTCAAGAGCACTTGGCATGGTTTGGGTGACAAGGAGCAGGCTTCCAGGTGCTCCAACACGGGCTTCCCGAAAGTCCTTTGTCTGTTTATTCAACAGATGTTTATCGAGGGCCTGTTGTGTCCCCTTGTGAACGGTGGGTGAGAGAGACACAGCCCCTGGCCTTCAGGAGCTTCCACTCTAGTCGGGAAGAAAGCCGCCAAAGGAGTAAATAATGATTAAGGCAGTTTCAGATAGCAGTTGGCGCTACGAAGGAAATTGTGCGATGTGATCAAGAGCAGGTGGGGAGGTGATCTGGGAAGATGACATTTGAACGGTTGGAAGGGATGGCAGGAGCCAGCCCGACAGTGTGTATTGTAGGCAGGGGAGGCGGGGACAGTGAGTGCAAAGGCCTCATGGCAGGACCAAGCTCAGTGTCCTGAAAGAACAGATTAAAGGCCTTCCTGTGCAAGAGAGGCTTGCTAAGGAGATGAGTTGAAGAGCTCTAGCTGTGGATTTTATTAAGTGTGAGCGAGTGGTATGCATTAGGCCTTCAGTAACTGTTTGTTGAATGAATGAATGAACGAAGGAATGAACGAACGAACGAACGAGTCTTAAAAGGAGGGGAACGACACAATCTGGCCTGTGCAGAGTGCCAAGGGTAGAAGCAGAAGGGCCTTAGTTGGGTTAAACCAAAACGAATGTTCAGGCTTCTGCCCTCTAACCCTGAGAAGTCACTCAGGTTGGTCAGGGGCCCCGAGGCCTTCCTTAGGTTTAGAACCAGCCACCTGATTAACCTGTGCCCTCGTTGCCAGGAAACAGCTGGGAAGCCTGTGAGTTCCTGTAAAGGGCTGCCCTTCGTTTTCTTTTGGTCCAACACCTTGGCATCTCCCTTGGTTCTTTGCTGCATGAGTTCTGCATAGACCCTAGAGGGTGGTACCGTGAAAAGCCCCCGAGACTCCTTCAGGATGCCCGTGCTGTGGCGGGTGACTGCCTCCGTCGTGGCCAGGATTGCGGGACCTCAGGCCCTTGGCTGCCAGGTCCTTCGTCTCACCCAGCATCCCACGGGCTTCCCTGACAGTTGCCCAGCAAACCTGAGCGCCCCAAGAGTAACCCCTGATGGGGTGTGATTTTAAGTTTGCATAAGCTGGAGTGGCCTCCTCTACACATTCAGCATATGTGCAGACTTGACCATGTGGGCAGTGGGGGCTCAGGAGCCCTCCGTTCCATTCAGGGGTGTTCCCAGAGAGCTGGAGATGGCAGATGAGAGCCTGTAGTCCGGGAAGTTGGGCTTGGTCCTGTGTGTCTCGCTGTGTGAACGTCTTGTGCCGCTTGTGGCCGCCTGCCTCTTGTACAGCGTGGGCCCTGCGTTCGGGAGAACCGCTCACCTGCCTCACGCTCCGCTGGTGGAGGGGAAGTGCTGTGTTGGGCCAGTACGACCTGTTGCTCTCTTCAGGGATTCCCAAGGTTAATTGTGACGATTGTGACGTTCCCCTTCGTGGGAACTTTCGAACCGTGCTTTTCACTCCAGCACACGCTCTCTCTCCTGCCCCTTCCCTCTCACCTGAACTGTAGCTACAGTACTTTGATGAAGGTGGAATACAAAAGGTGAAGTCGGGAATCCTCTGTTTAATTCCGAAAGGCCCCAGTTGAAGGACAGAGCAGTGTATTTGGTGGAGTAAACGTTTAACACTAAACTACTTCAGAGTTTTCCGGGTAATTTGACTTCCCTGTTATGTCATCTCAATGCAATGCTCCACAGCCTAATGGGCTAACCAGGGAAAGTGCTGTCCCCACGTCATTGCTGAGGGAGATTGGTGGCTGAGCGGTGGCACTGAGACTAGAGCCCCGGGGTTTTGCTCCACCGCCCTCCCCAACCCTCTCCAGTGCCTTAGCAAAGAAACGGAAAGGCCTGGAGTTGGGCGTATGCCCTTCCTAGGTCTTGGGGTGTTTCGTTGATCTTGGTGAGAGAAAGGGCTTTATTGTCTTTTTTTTTTTTTTTTTTGAACGTTTTTATTTTATTTTTGGGACAGAGAGAGACAGAGCATGAACGGGGGAGGGGCAGAGAGAGAGGGAGACACAGAATCAGAAACAGGCTCCAGGCTCTGAGCCATCAGCCCAGAGCCTGACGCGGGGCTCGAACTCACGGACCGCGAGATCGTGACCTGGCTGAAGTCGGACGCTTAACCGACTGCGCCACCCAGGCGCCCGAGAAAGGGCTTTAAAGAGAAGGATCTGCCAGCTGCAGCAGGGTCCCTTGTTACAGGAACCCTGGCCACTGTTTGTCCCATTCTGGGTAACGTGCTGTCCTGTGAGCGTGAAGTCCACTTTTAAGGAAGTTCTTTCTTGTGCCTTATACTCAGTACCTCATACTCACTGGGCTTGGGGCCCCTCGTGTCACGTACGAAGCAGGACTTTGTCTTCTATCACGTGCAGGCCCTTCAGACTTCTTTTGAAAGAGCACTTCTGGGGCTGACTGTGTGCCAGACGCGGGTTTCAATTCAGTCAAATTAAATGATCTCAGTCCTCCCGGCAGCAATTTGAGACCCGTGTCTGTCCTGAAGGTGAGAAAATAGGCCCCGAGAGGGGAAAGGACTTGCCCGGGGCGCAGAGCCAGTGATGTGTAGAGCGAGGGTGCAGGGCCTGGGGCAGTTCTGCTCCAGGGCGCGTGCTCTCGGCCATATTCTCATTCTTCCAGCCCCCTTTGCCTTCTCTCCAGCCAGGCATCTCACATTCCTTCAGCCCCTCACAGGTCTGTTGACATTTCCAGCTCGGCCAAGTGTCTTTCACGGGTGGATAGTCGCGGCCCTCAGGTAGCATTCTTTCCTCACCCTTCCACCCACCCATCACAAGTCCAGGAGGTGTAACCCCA